CAAAGATGCAGAGACCTCCAAGCTTGCTCCCTCAGAGTTTAACGGTTTTCATTAGACACATGACATCTAACACAAAGTGGTGAAACCACTAGAAGGCATCTCTATCTGTGTCTACTTATCTCTAGACAACCTCCTCTCATGGTGGAGATGTCAGTATAAAGTAGCATTGCGAGTGCTGGGTTGCCTTTTGCTTTCCTCCCTTTTCTGCCTTGGCGCAGTTCATGCCCTCCTTTGAGGCACACCGATGCGCGCTGGTCTCACTAACACAGCAGCTCTGCCCTCTTGTTGGGAGCGGAGCACAGAAAGCCAAGGGGGGAATTCAGGCTGCCATCAATTCCCCACCTTTGCACTGTGACAAAGGGCAGCTCTGCAAGTAGGCAGCAGGCCAGCACAGAAGAGTAACATGGCAAAAGCCAGTTTTGGGGTGGAGTTTAGAACCATGATACTGTACCCATATGGGTGGAGAATTAGTTTAGTCATTTGTGCAGAAAGGGTAACGGGCCAGTAAATGCTGCAGAACTAACACTGAAGTCTAGGTCACATCCATTACTAGGAAAAAACCCCACAACCAAACCCCAAACAAAAACCACCACACAAAAAAAAGAAATATCCCTGGGAAGGCCTGCTCTGCTGCATCTGATTCATCCTGCAGGTCCAGCCTGTCTGCATCTAGCCCCAGCTCAGCACTAAAACAGTGCTGGGCTGACTGAGTCTGCCTACACCACACCCCCCCAGGGTTCCATAATATCAGCAACCCCAATGTTTGGTGTATGCCATGCTATCTTAACTCCAGAATAAGCAGGTATTGACACTAATTGTAAGAAAACGTGACTCATTTCCAGAAATTTTTAACCACCAGCCCAGGAAAGTAATGACTTTTTTTTTTTTTAATCCTCTTTTAACCAATATACCCATTTTCAAAGCTGAAAAGAATTGTTTAGTCTTTCTTCACAGTTAACCAAATCTCTACAGATAGAGCATGGAAATACATTACCACTTTGGCAGTGATACAGGGAAGAAAAAAAAAAAGATGGCTTTGTGATTTAAAAACTAATGACTTGTTTGTTCATTTTCTGTTAAATTTCTGAAGATTTTCTAAGCACATATTGCCTAATTTATGTTTCAAATGACCAGCTGACATTAGAGATTTTTTGTTCAGCTACCAAAGCACATCGATCATCTCGGACTAAGGTAAAGAACAGTATTGCTCCCACCAGTTCTCTACAAAGAGGAAAAATATACGTATCAAACCTGAGTGGGCCATGTGTACATAACACAAAAGAGATGCTGATAACATACGACACTATTTCTTTTTGGCAGTTCAAACATTTCTAAAAAGGAATGTAATAACTCAGAAAAAAATAAGACTTCTGCCCCTCAAAAACCCAGGACTGGTTTAGAAACAATTCAGAAAGAAATGCAAGAAAACACAGGCCTGATTCTGTCAGTAAGACAAGAAAGAGATCACATGCATTAAAAGATAAAATACTGCATATTCTGAATATTTGCAGGATTTTTCTCCTTTAATAAGAACACTTCAATATGGCCACTTAACTTTTGGTAAGCCCTACAGTATGAATGAGCATTACATTCTTTTTCCATAATATTTTCAGTAAAATAATGACTTCATTATATTTTATAATACATAAAGAAGCCTTAAAATGGCCATGAGTTTTTACTGTTTATTTCCCCCACTCATGTATCAGAAATACCAAGTTTAGTCTTCACTGGTTATAAAGGATGCCTGTGAAAATTTCAGGGTATGGTTGCTTAAGTCTCTCCACAACTGATGAAAAGCAGCTGTGTTGAATCTAAAACCCCTCCTTTATCAGAACTATTATATACTGAAGTTATAGATATTAATTCTTTGAACCATGCAAAAAATATAGCTCTCCCCCTAAAAACAGCTGGGATTTCATTTGGTCCTGAGTCATCACTAGGCCCACAGAGTCTTAATGTTTCAAAGCTGAAAGTCTTTATTTTTCCACACAAAAGGCAAGAAGAAAAAAACCACCCACTTGAAAAATCCTCTTTATCCATGATAAAAATGGCCATAACACTATCAAAGCAAGAACAGTAGTAACATTTTCCATCCATTCTGACCAAAGAATTTTAACAATTCTTAGAAAGGAACACAGGTCAGTATAATTATATAGCCTGCCTTTGTCGCTTCCCTACCACAGTGAGACATCCATTACACTGGTCAAAATTAGGGCAACATAGATGTACCCGTCCCAAAGAGGTGTTCTAGCTAAGAAATACCTGGTTTATGGACAAAAATTGGCTAACTGAAGTCTGAAGAACAAGCAAAACCACAGCACAAGCAATAGAGAGAAAAGAATGTTTACCTTCCTGATTTGGTAGCAAATTAAGACAAAACCAGAAGTGGTGGAAGGAGGGATGTAAAGGTTGTTATGAATACCTACCAGCTGTTACCAGCACCAGATTTTGCCACAAATTCACTATTACAGCTCTTCCCCTAAAACTGAAAAGGTTCTCATGCTACCTGTTTAAGTACTTCCTTCTTAGAAGAACCATTTATACCAAATGTTACTTGTAATTGGTAGTTATATTTCTCCAAACAAGCAAATTTGGATTTTTTTTTTTCAAAAATTTTAATACATATCCCATAAGTATTGCTATCACTTGTTAAACAAGTAACACTTCCTATATTTAAGAACTGAAGAAAATTGTTTGAAGTTTCACAGAAAAAAAGAGACTGCAGATGTATCATTACTTACAAGGCAGTTATCACAAATGCTACTTTCTTTTCTTTTTTGTGGTCATTCATTCTGTTTCACAAAGAGGTTTAAAATTACTACATCTCAAACGAAAGCCTATAAAAACATACTGAAAGATACAACATGCTTAAAAAGAGTTTTCTTGGTTTCACAAGCTTTTCTTGTTTCTCTTTTATGAAGAGCTGAGAAATTAAAATTAGCATTTGAAAGTATTCAAAAGATTGTTCAAACTTCTCATTTAGGTGTCAGATTCCACAGGTGTGATTTCTCATTAAGTACAGCGAAACCTTCTTGAAATCAACCTTGCTAGGCAACCTGTGTTCTTAACACTACAAAGCAAACCAGTACAATTCTGGTTTCCCTGCAGCTGAAGATACTCTTAGACAAATAATAAACTAAAAGATAGAGCCCAAGATGAGCACGGAAAGAACATATTGCACATCTGTTCTCTTACCTTACATGTTGAGGGCATCGAGGTTCTATAACTTCTGGTTAAGAAAAGAACCTTAACTCATACTATTTCGTTATGTAGTCAACTCTTTTGCTATTATTATACTCATATAACTCATTATGCTGCTATTATAACTCATGTTAGAGGTCTTTTAATTTTAAAAAACATTAATAAAAAAGAGCACATAAAGTGCACTGCTGGGAACACTTGAGTATCAGGACTAGGTGACAGGATGTCTTTTTGCAATAAAGTTAATAATTCTTGAAATAGAAAACAAAATTATGCTGGCACAGCATTTTGCTTCTCTCAAACTAAACTGCTTGCAAGACAAATACTACTCCAGCAGAATACTTTTTTTTCACAGAATTATTGAAACTGCAGTTTAAACTGACTTGTAACAATGAAAGCTTTAGGGAAACATCTATTTTTATGCTGATTCTGGCTTCCAATGGACCAGAACGCTTTATTTACTGCTAATTCACAAAAATGAATATATTATCAGTCAGTTTGCTGGCTAATATCTATACAAAACAGAATCTCTCCAGAAGTACTTTGAATTGAACCAGATAAAGTGCAATTTCTTACTTGATAAATTTTGCAGCTGTGTACCGCATCCCTCAAGATCTTACTATGCGAATGGCAAATTAAGATAACACCTCAATTTCTAACTCTCCACCAATTAAATAAAAAATAGAAAGCAGAGTTTCCTATAAGCACTCAACCTTCAAAATTGTTACAGGAATACCTTTAATATGAAAGGCAATACCACTAAGCAATAAAAAAGATTAGAAAACCCACACACATTAAATACACACATTAAACCCAGACTAATTTGAAACCTCACTGTCTAAAGCACACACATGCCTCAAGTCTTCCTGCATTCAAAGCTTCTCCTGTTTCATTTAATTTTCATTATAAATATAAGGGAAGATGTTAATTCTAAGTGTTCAGTATTTTACATCTCAGAATAGACATCTTCATGCTTAGAGCTTTCGTAAAGTAAATTTACCAGTAATAACACAATGACAACTTCAGGAGGTGAGGAAAATGCATTGAAAGTGGCATTACCACTCATTCCAGATAGCAATTTCTGAAACACTTAGAAAGCTTTTCAACCTACAGGCCATTAAGAACCATGACAGGAGAGAGGAGACACTAAAAACAAAAGAAGTTCTATTTTGCACTGCAATATAGATTCATACCATCTTTGCATGAAGTAAGAATACTAATTATTTTAGAACAACCTGTTCTGAATTATTTTGCTGACTTTTTCAAGTCAATACTTATCTATGCAGAAATCTTTGTGAAAGCCGTGGTAATATCAGCAATAAAAAAGCATTAAATTTGGTAGAGGGAAAAGTAAAATTATTAATCTATTGGCAACTTTTTTCAAAGTTTACCTGTACTGTTTATCAGTGACAATCCTTAAGCATAAACTAGAGGAGACAACCTTTTTTACTTTACAGTCCAAGACAGATAATACTGAACAACACTTACACCCCAGGTGTTTCCCAAATAAAGACAATCAGTTGCACGTAAGTACAGTAGACAATATTTAGTTTGTTTTGCTGCTAGTTTTGGTTTGTTAAAACAGAGTCATGACCCAATTTATTTCCTTGAATATCTCAAGCCACATTTGAATTCTCACAGAAAATGGTGACTGTTTTTATAATAGATCTTTTCTGTGACATTAGACTAAAATTCTGCAGAACAATAACATTTTATATCCTGTATCATGACTACAATTTGAAGAAATTTATTAGCATGCTAGACCTAAATATAATTAATTCTTGATGCATTATATTTACCATTCTGTAATCCCATCCACAGTTGCTTATGATCCTTTTTTTGCATCTCATTGATGACTTGACTTTTGTGCTTTAAAGCATCTGCTTCTTTTATACAAGCCATAAAATGAGCTTCAATCACATCCTTAGAATGGCAGTGTAGAAGATCCTTCTCTGGAAAATTCTACAACGATAAAAGATCAAGAGAAATAAATGCATCACACATCTTAGAAGATGAAGAATAAATGATAATTTCAATCGGGTTTATATTTATGCAAAAGAAGTCCAGTGGAATCTGCTACTTATGGAAGAAGGTAACAACCATTCTCTCACACCGCTGACAAGAAAGGTTTTACAGTGAAAAACGTTTCAGGAAAAATAAAAGTTGAACAATTTTCTGTAAAATAAGAAAATACTCTAAATCACCCAATTGCAACTTGATAAATAAATTTAAACACATCAGTGGATGTATTTAGGCCCTTAGATCCAAAAATTCAGGAAATTAAGAGTTTTAACATGTTTTCAAGCAGACATTCAATTCTCTGGCAGTGAACAGGAGGAAAGGGGGAGAAGTAAGCGACAAGCACCCAATTCCTACTAACTGTCAATAGTAGTTTAGCACCCCTTTCTATGCAGGCCTTTGAAAAACGTTTACTCCAAGTATCATCACCCACATATATGAGCTCTAGCATATATGTCACTCACAAACATTTTTCTTTAGAGATACTGGAAATCCTTGTCAGCTCCAACTCGACCTAATACCTGTGCCTATTGCTAGCCCGTGTGACTTGATTCGATACTCCTTTTACTTGGTCAGAGCTGGTGCACTGCATTCAGCATTGTGGACGCACAGTTAGCACTCCCCAGGTAACTTTTACCCCCTCAGTAAATAACAAATAGCATTCCTAATTAATTTATTAAGGAATTATAGTAAATCTCGTTCAGGTACAAAAAAATTTCTTTGGAAATTAACTAACCAGAAGTTCAGCACTGTATTACAACAAGTTGAACAACAGTTAGGGTTGTTCTTCCTCTCATTTGTCTTTTATCAGTGCTTAGTATCACTTGCCATTTTACAATAACACAAGCATTCAGTATCATCAATTCATTGTCTTTAGTTTTCAAAGGTTTAAAAACCCAGCATGTTCTATCCCCTCCTTATTCACCTTTTTTTCACAGTTGCTTATGACCGTGCCGAACAATGCAAACCCCCAGAGCCAAACCAGAGTGGCATCATTAGTGCTCATAACAAGAACTCGTCATGTATTTTTGTACTTTAATTCTTATCTGTTATTCCATGAGAGAATCCTTCCTCTAAACACATTACAAATTGGCGATTTAAAAAAAGCTTTTGTGAGGGACTGTCAAAACCATTTTGGAAATACAAGTACATATAAGGGGATCCTTTTCAAAGGCTTTTACAACATAGTTAACGTGTCACATTAAGAGCAATATAATGCTGGAAAAACCCATACCTTCCCTCCTCCACACAAACCCAGGAAAAATAGTGAAGACTACTTCAAACTACTGGAACTCAAGATATCCAAGAACTGCTAACATTTGGCAATATGAAAGGGAGCTGAGGATTGCCTTACCTGAAGGAAATTCTGAGGACAAGGATGACAGTTCCGTCATCATTAGGTTATTGAAAAGATTTGGAAATTAAATAATGGAATTACATATTGTGATTCCTCCTTATAACAGCGAACCCAGACTGTGGTTCAAAAGCATGAGTATCTTCCAAAAACAAGAGTATAAAAGGAAGAGAAGACCGCTAATATCTTTTTTTACTGAAGCAAACATGGTTTGGTGTTGAACTCAAAGGGAATGCTACTGTTACTTAGGACTGATGCATGTAGAGCTAACTAGAAATCTAAGGACAGAGATAAAGCTTGTTTCTCGTATGAGGATGGCCAAGTACAAAGACATTAAAGAGGACAGAACAGAAAGTTCTCCTTCTAGGGCAGATCTCGCTCCCTTTCTCCCCTACAAAGCTGAGTGTCTCAGCATCATTAGGCCCAAGAAGAATGAACACATTAGTGGGATTGTTACTTACCAGCTGACATCTGTATAGGCCTGTAATATACTTTTAGAAGTTTAACTTACTTGCTCTAATTTAAAAAAAAAAGAAAAAAAAAGTAAAAGTCTAGTAACCAATCCAAAAGAAAAGAACAGTCAGAAATAGAATAATTCAAGATCAAAAAAGTTCTTTACACGCAAGAATTCGAAGTGAGACACTGGCATTCCTCAAAAAAAAAGATGAAACAGTAGAATGCACCTAAAGCCAAGTAACACAGGAACCTAGAAACTGACTTTCACAGTTAAAAGCTGAATTTTTAGCCAAGTTTATGAAAACAACAGTTTTGTTACAACAGCTGTTTTAGTACACACATGTCGAAATATATATTGAACTGCAGGGTCTTTTATTTGGACATTCCTGCCTTTCTATAGGTAGGCACCTCCCTGCTGACTTTCTTCCATTGAATTTCAAATTACAGGGAATGTCACTCCCTGGGGATATGTTCCAGAGAACATATACAGTGTGGTCTGCAGAATAGCGAGACAAATTTAAAACCGGTCAAAGCTACCTAAGCTAGTGGAAGAAATCTAGCCACAGTAGTACAAAGGTATGGCATGATTCCCTTTCCCAGCTTCTAAGGGATAACACTGTGGAAGATTGGAAAACACTCCTACAATCTCAGTGCTGTCAACTCTTTTCTTTAGAAGAAAAACACTGACACATTTCTATGCAGTACTGTGAGTAGAAGCTGAAAAACCTAAGCATGAAAGTGATAACTTAGAAAACAACACTGCTGCATCTACAAGAGGCATATGAAACAGTTTCACCTACATGAGACTACCGACAGAAAATATGGCATCCCCACTGATTTATAAACTAGGGCACAGAATAATAAGTTTTATACTTAAATATAGAACATGTATGTTTGGGGTTTTTTTAATTCTACTTGCCTTCTTTCTACTTGAGGAAATAGTGATCAAACGTAAATAACTTTAATCAGTTCCCTAAAGAGAGAGACAACTGTAAATGAGCTGGTAGCCACCCCTGGCTATAAAACTTTCTGCAAATCTCATAGTTGTAACAGATCCCACAAGCAACTTGAATTCAAGTAGTCTTACTGGTGACATCTTACTCCTTCCATGTTCTACATCTTTGAAAGAAAAGTTATTAAGGGTTAACTCTGATTTGCCTAGAAAACTCAAGTAGTAGTGGTTTTGTTTTACATACCAGTAGACACTTGCAGCATAAACTTGGTCATAAAGAAGTAGGTATCATCTGTACAGACAGGAGCACTAAATGACTTCTCACATAAAACTGTTCCAAAACCATTGCAGGTAATTTCAACAGTTTGGTTTCATAACTCCATTCCACCCATATTTATCTATCAGTTCTAGTTCACAAGACATCTGTTTATACTGTGACAGTCTAGTTGCATTAGGCTACATTTGCAGAAAGTTACACCAATAATAGGGCATTATAACCCATAAGGAAGATACAGAGTGGCAGAGGGAGTATCCATATATATATTTGTGTTTAGTTACCATCAGTGGTCTTTTTTTTTTTTAAATTAATATTTTTTAAAAAAAACCCACAAACCCCTCATATATACTTCTGGCTTCTGTAATGTCTCCTAGCAGTTCCACAATTTATCCATATGCTACATGGAAAAAATACTTCCTTTTCACTCCACCTGACCCAACTTTGAGCTGAGAAAACCAAGATGACAGCTGTTGTTATACAAAACCTGATGCACTCTCTCCTCCTCTACATCAGGTCACGGGGTGGAGGGGCAGGCAACCAGCGGATAAGGGCTTCAGCAGAGAGAGAGAACATTAGCCTTTCTGCTTGCACACCTGATTTCTTCTCCTGCTACTATTTCCAGAGTAGTTCACCACCTCCTACCTACTGCCCAAAACTGGGAGAGCTGGTTACTATGCTGAGAACGTGAACAGTGCTAAACGTGCCACCGAGTAGCATGAGATGAGATTAACAGGAAGGGATAGAGTTTCCCTCCTTCCCGTAAAGCCACACCTGGGTAACAAAAGCACCTTCCCAGACTACCGCTTCTCATGATTCTCAGACCTTAGTACTCTGTTCAAGCTCATCCTTCTACGACTACTTAAGGTAACTATATTTCAACTTTACTAGAGATATAAATGCATGTTATTTTATTGCGTACCAAAAGTACAAATGAATAAACTGTTTCTTCAACGCAAACAATAAGCATGTGCAGTATTTGGTCTGCATACATAATGCACGAAGACAATTACAGGTTTCTGTCAACTTTCAAACTTCTGCTCAACAGAAATAGACTTTTTTCATGGTTTTAACTTTAAACAAAGAAAATTGACAGGGGAAAAAAAGAAGTTAAAAACACTTGTTACAGATGTTTGAGGTATCTGTTGTTGACTGCATGCTTTGATAAAAGAAAGGGAGAGAGCCGTGACAGCAAAAGTTAAACCCCAGAAAAATCTAATGCTGTTCAATTAAGCCAAATAAAAAGTATGGCTCTGAAGAATAACTACACACAAATGAAAAGAATAATCCAGACAGGAATCCCGCACCTAAACTATTTACTATTACTATGTAGCTGTAAGAAACTGTGACATATAAAAATGTCTACAATATTTTGACATACTTTCATATATTTCAGTTATGTTTTGACTTTAAGGATTAAGAGGGGTTTATTTAAATAAACTTTCAGATTACATCAAAAACAGGAAGAGAGATTAAGCAGGTGCTTAATCCAAGGTGTTATATTTTTAAAAACTAAATTACATCAGCCTTTAAAAATAATGCTGCCTTGGCAATAAATTATTTCTGCTGATCTTTCACACACACACTTTTGCGACAAACTTAAATTAGCTGAACTTTTGGCAACCAGCAATATAAGGACATCAAAGTCAGTTTACATTACCACATGAAATTTAAAAGCTCTGCGGTGCTGCAACTTATTTCTCAAGATTGCTCTACTTTGGAATAGCAACATCCACACACTACCACTGTTAATCTCCCAAAGGTCTCCAAACGTGTAACAATTAAATCATGACTTATGAAACTAGATGCCCTGCAGTCTCTTCAAACACTGAAAATTTCTTCATCCCACCTCTCTCTGAGACAGAAGTGTAGCAATTACAATGGTTTCAAAAACATCCCCATCTTCAGATTCAGTCATTTTAAAAGTTTCAACATGTGGAAATATATATTATAAGATTGCATGATTTCAGTGAGAACTTCCAAAAAGAATCAAACTACTCCTGTTAACAAGACTTCTTCTAAAACATCTTCAAGAGAAGAACTGTTTGAATGAAAACGTTCAACACAACTGCTTCCCAGTATGCTATTTGATTTTATCTCAGATCTCACACACAAAAGTCAAGCCTATTAACCTAGTATTTTCCTTTAGATCAGTTTTCCTATTGCATTCTTTATTTTACAATAGAGAAATCAAAGTTTCAAAGTTAAATACCATGATCTCTAGTTGTGATTTTTACTTCAAAACATAGCTGGGATTACTGTCTCAATGCATTTCAGAGCATGAAAGAATCCTACACCAAAGCTAACCCTGTGCAAGTACTCTTCTGAGCAAAGATCAGTAGTGCTATGAAGTCATACCTAATGATTTTACAATGTGTAATCAAAATAATGTCTCTCCTGTGACTAAGCTGTCACAAGACCAAACTCATTTCACTCAGTTCTCTAAAGGGCACCCACATGAAGTACAACAGCATTCCCTGACTTCAAGAATTTCTACAGTATCTCATATCCATCCTCATGTGTCTAAAAGGATGAGCACTTCTTAATCTTCCCAATCTTCAGTCAACTCAAGTTGACTAAATTAAAAACATTATAGAAAGTTCTTCCCTTATATCCACTCAATTGCACTGACACCGTCTTATGACCTATCTTGAAAAACAATTTTGGATTTTCAGATTATAACCGTTTTCAAAGGAAGGTCATAGAAAGCACATACAACCTCATGGAAAACAGCTGTAGATTTACAAAAAGCTTTAGGTGATTCCTGAAGAACGAACATTCTCCCCTTCAAGTCATGCCATTCACTTATTTATAAAATAATTATGAAACCTTTTCCTAGCTTTCAAATTTTATGTAATCCCACGCTCACTTGCTCTTAACTAAAGGTAATGTATTTCAATTTTACCTTGAAATGCACTGTGATGCTCCAAGGAAGGGCTGTATTTGATGCATGGAGATCAAACAGCAAACCAATTGGGTAATGCCTAAAAAGGAAGAGATATTAAATTAACATAAAAGCTATGCATTTAATTCTACATATAACAGTTAACATACTTGCATTTACATGAAAAAAGTTTGCTGTGACTCCCACAATTAACATTCATTATTGCTTATTCAGAAAAGTTATACAGGCAGGTATAAGTGACTGATAGTTTCTGGCAGAATCAAGTCTGGAACTGACATGTTCAATATCTAAACCAGTGGTCTTCAAGCTGGTTTTGTAAGAGTATAGTGGCCTACAGCCACTCGGTGGAATCATTCAAAACAGTATTTTTAGTTAAAAAGCTTGATAATGATAGGAATAGCTGGTCTGACAGAAAAGTATACATGCTCTCAGAAGTTTAAACGCATGGGTTTATACCACATTGACCCTTAATACCTCTTCCTTCTCTCACGTGCCTTATGTCATTGCAGAGAATAAGTAGTAAAGTGAAAAAAAATGGCATAAGGGCTGAAAGATGATAGATCAAGATGAACTCTGTATCTTTACTATCAAATTAAGAAGAATGGAAGGGGAGAAAAAAGATTAAAGTTTTGTATTTCGGTGTAGTCTGGATTAAACACGAAGAAGCTGCTTCCTCCAAATATTCACTTCTGTCTTATAGCTTTGTCTCCTTTAAATACATTAGAAGATACAATCTCCAACAATATAAGGAACATATATCACATACACAAAACTTCCACAGGCACTCTAAAAAGATATTTCTGCAACTTTCTCACAAGCAAACGCTGGCAAGATTTTTGTGGGTTTTTTTTTTTTTTTCCCCGCAAACCAAGCTCCATTCTCTTATGTTTTAAAAATCTTCAGGCAAAGAGCCTCACTAGCTTTTCATCCTACAGAGAGATAAGCACATGCTTAACTGTAAACTCAGTAGTTCCACTGAATTAAACAGGACTGATCAGAGGACGCAGAGCCAAGCACGTACGTAAGTTTTGAAAGTTCAGACAGCAATAACTGAGAGCATTGCTCTAAAGGCACCTGTGCCAAGCAGATTTCCTGACCTTCTAAACTCTCACACAGCAGTGCTTTAGCACCCTCTACGGGTGAGCTAACCCCAAAGCTAAGACAAAGTCACTTCACAACAGCAAAATTAAAAAAAAAACCCACAAAAGTACTACAATTCTTGAACTTACCTATTGCATTTGCAACTTCTTAAAAGGAAGAATAAGGGGAAATACAAAGAAAGTATCTAGAACTGTGTTTTCACTGTGTTTTCTTGACAAAGGGAATAAAGAATATAGATCATGCATATCCAGATTTATCCTGATTCACTGCTAATGTTCAGGTTTTTATTGCTTTATTACTGTCAATAATGTCTTGATTACTTCAACAGGGATTCAGCAAGAGTTCCACAAAAAATTGGGTTTGTACTTTCCAGGTAATAAAAATGGGATTTCCTTTAACAATTAGATGAACATGAACAATGACTTTCAGTTACTTTCAATTTATACAACAAAAGAGATAACTACAAAAAAAAAAAAAAGCAAAGCACCAGTTTTTGGCCTACCTTGATATTTTCTACCCAGTGTAAATTACAAAATAAAGTTCATGTACTCAAGCTTTCTTCAGTAAAATCCTTGTGCTTTGCACCATTGATATATGGTTTTTATTTTGAAAAAGCCCTAAATTTTGTTCCATAACAGAACACAGGAGATTAATGAAGAAAGGAGATCATGAGAGAAATAATTTTCTATTCAGAAGCACAGCCTTCCATTAAGAGTAACGTTCGCAACAGGAGTGAGGCAGTCCTGAGAGGTAAGGCATGTCCTGCTTCAAATTCCAGTGCTCGCACACTGGCATTTAATCTGAAGCCAATAAAAGCCTTAAGTAATGCCTGTACATAATGCTGTGTTTCACTTATTTCTGAGATATAGTTACAAGCATTTTTTAAGAGTCTGGAAACAATAGCACTCCATGTAACAATACTAAAGCTATTTTTCATATTTCCTTCATAGTAAAACCTGGTTTCTTAACCAGGATAGAGAATTAAGGGAGGCACAAAGAGAGGAGTTGAGAAGAAAAGAGGACTTGTCAATCTGTACATGGAATAAGGAAAAAAAAAAAAATCCAACATTCCCTCACTCCATTCTTAAGTGTTTATCTACCTTGTGCTATGAGCCAGTACTCCCTCATTAAAGATCTTGCTTCCAGTGGTACTGCTGCAATGCTGCTTCTGAACTTCTATTTGAAAAAAACAGGCATTGCAATTAAAGAAATACACAAACGCTCTCTAGAACGTACTGTAACCAGGAAAATAAAAAAAAAACCCAAACTGAACTAAAATACCCAAGAGAGCCTTTAAAGATTCCACCCCTCCTCTGCAAAAGAAAAGACAAACAGAACAACAGCTAAGGGAAATGTCCAGGCCAGAAAGGTCTAATTTTTGAAAAAAAATATTATTGTATTGTTGAAATCAAACTGATCTTAACTACAGTGGGAGCTAAGGAGAGGCAGACTGTGTAGAACTTTCTCAAAGGAAATAATGGGAAAAATATCAAAGAAAATGTCCAAGACCACAAATCTTTTTTTACAAGTTGCTAGAATAACGATTGGTTCTGGAAAGTCTTCAAACTATAAAAGTGTAACAGCACCTTGACTTCCAGCCATTGTCAATTTATTACTGCTTTTATTATTATTCAGAAGGTGGTTTCAGAGTGCAAGAGAAATCCTGGAAAACACCCTGTTAAGTACTTAAAATCCTTTTGAAAGTGACAGATGGACAGTAAAATTAATTACTACTTTTCTAACAATTTCTTTCTGAACTCAGGACAGAAAGTGAGAGCATGAGTTGGTAGGTTGTTTTCAGACCAGGATAATTTATTGCAGTAATTCAGTAAGACATGTCACATGAACTGATAAATCCAGGACAAAAAAATCCTATACTCCAGAACTGTTTGGGATACTACATGTATCAAGTGGCCAAAATCTGGTGTTTAGGTATTTCTATGAACAAATGTTTCATTGAGGGAAATTTTGGCTGCATTGGAAAATAAACTTACCTTTTCCTTTAGTATTCAGTAAGAAATAATTTTTTCTTATGTCTTTTAAGCAAACGTTAGTTTTTTCAAACAATATGTCAGCTATGCCTGATCAAATGGTGCTTTAACCTTTGATCTTCCACTGATTCCTGATGAGGAAGGGTCAGACATCCATCCAGTTCGTACTAGAGACACCTATGAGACTACCAGAGCTAGAGCACAATCCACAGAAAGGGGACAGACACTCTGCTGAAGGCCACGTGAAAGTGCTCAAAATGGATGGTAACAAGCCATAGAGTCATCCCCTAGCATTTGCTGAAGAAACCACTTTGGCACATCAGAGGCCTTCACTCAGGCAGGGCTCCTGAGAGAGGATGCAGCTCTCCAGGTCTCAAGCTGCCAGGAAAGCTTGGGACCTCTCCTGAGGGCTGGGGCAAGCAGAGACAGCGTCCTTGCCTAGAGGAGGTGTGTGTTGGTGGAAGAGCTATGTCACCAAGTTAAGGAGCTGCAGGAAGTCAGTGAGCTGCAGAGTGTTGGGGATGATAAAATAGATTGATGGCATTTTCACTGAGACCTTGCAGAGGTAAGAGCCTAAACTCCCAGCTGCACAGAAAGGGGGTCTGCAGTCATTGGAGTGGCAAATGGAGACTCACAAGAGGAGGAAGACTGGAGGCTTGTGACCTCTGGTAAGACAAGGCAGGGTCCTTCTCCACCTGCAGTCAGCGCCTCAATGGCAGACAGGGAACTGGAAGCTCCAAGGAAGCATCAGAGCAGCCTGAAGAGTACATCCACACCAAGAAGAAGCAGTCACAGTGGTAGGAGACTCCCTCCTACAGAGGACAGAGCACTCCCCCATCCGCCAATCCCACTTGCTACTTGCAGAGGTTTGCTGCTTGCTAAGAAGCTGCAGACAGACTGACAAAGCTTATCTTGTTCTTGGATTATTAGCCCTTGCTGTTCAACCTGTGGTGGGTTGACCCTGGCT